TCATGGGTATTCAGTTGATATCCTTGAAGCTGGCTTTTCTTCTCCCAGAAGCCAGCCACCGTAAAGTAAGCGAAGATCTACCAAGAACAGCAATTTCCGGATTGGGGATTTTAGAATGTAGGGATTTCCTTGTGTTCTAACCATAGTTTGTAACGAACATCTTTAATTGCACACTGACCGTAGCTATGGTAGCGGAGAAAGAATTGACTCCGAACAATAACTNTTGGTTAACCTTGCGAAATCGGCTTACGGTGAGTCACATTTACTGACTTTAACTGTTTGGTCGTGGCCACCACCCGTTTTCAGCGCCCCAGAAAACCTACTTACGTGGTATTTAAATGACGGTCGAACGGTACAGATTGATTATATTTTGGTACGTGCTCGCTAGGCCTCTTCAGTGGAAGACTACCGTCTCTATCACGGCACGGACCATACCCTTACACACATCTCCCGTACAAATTCAACATCGCGCTCTTGGAACTACCTGAGAGAAGGCAGGCGCTGCTGGACGAAACCGCTTCCAACATAGTCACAACTTTCTTCGATGATTCAACTATCGGCGCACAGGGCTCCACACTGAAAACGTGCACCAGAGAAGCGGCACTGGGGCAGTTAGGTAATACTCTTCGCCACTAAAGAGACTGGATGTCCGGGTGTACACTGCAGTTGTCCGCAAAGGCAAGAGATGCACTACTGATCGATTCTGCTGAATTCCCTATTCTACGTCGCCGTAAACAATACTGGAAGGCGATTGCAAACATCATAGAGGCTGCAACCATCGCAGCGGACTTTAGGAAGGCTATTTCCTCTTATCCGTGTCTCTGCAGGAAAGAGACAGACATCGGATCCACTGTTGCGCCACACCATGGGCCAACTTATTCAGGGTACTGAACAAAAAATGCAGATGTGGGTCGAACACTTTGACAGAAATGCACAGAGCGATTAGGTAGAGTGGGAGTCTCTCATCTTCCGGGTTGGGGTCCAAAAGACTCCAAAACCGCGTGGTTGGAGACACTAAAGGTCATGGCTACGAACCGACAGCAATGGCGATCATGCTGTCACTTCTTATCAGTCCAGAATGCTTGAACTAGTACGTATGCACAGTTGGGCTGTGTACTCTGTGTTGACCATAGAAGTTTGCTTTCTTTTTCCGTCCCTAAAAATAGGCCCAATCCCTATCCTCCTTACACATTCTCACCTATCTTATATGCATTATGAGTTTGGCAGCGATCAGTGAAGTTCGCTTCACTGTATTACGCTGTACGATGATGATGTCAAAGTCATCTGCGAGAACAAATATTTCGGAGCTTTGATTCATCCGAATGAGATTGCTGAGTTCATCGTAGAAAGTGTCCTTTTGGGTATCAGAACTGCAATTGGTCGGTGCATATGTCGATATGATGAACAAACACCTTTTGGTGTTGCTTCCCTTCCGGACGCTGTTAGACTCTTGGAAGCGCATCGCACATAAGCGTTTGTTGACGGGGCTCCAGTCGAGTAATGCGGGTTCTGCTGTGTTATTGAGTATGATACCCACTCCGCCCTGGCCCTACTGAATAGGCTTCGTCATCACCTAACGCGCAGAGGAAGTACATCAAAGATAACTCCGGCGAACTGAAGTGGCTTATAGTACTAGAATCCTCGATTCGCGTCTCTGATATGCAGCAAACATCAATCTCTAAAGAGCCCATTGTAAGCACCGGACGCGCTTGTTGACCCACCTGCCTCGGCGTCCTCTCTGTGAGGGCCCCCAGATTCAGTGTTTGACGAGGCTTCAGAATCTGCAATCGATTTTGTGGTAAACTATTACCTGCCTCAGCAAACGGTGCGTCGTGGCAACCTATTTGGTGACGCCCCGCTTGCTCCTTAAGCAGCCCTCGGTCACTTCTGTACTGAACTGCAGCAGGGCTTACTTGGATGTCCAACCAGATTCGTGCATTGCTGCATAGACAGCGGTTTCCTAACGCCGATGGTTCTTTTTCATCTTGTTTTCGCAATGACCAAATTTCAGTGCCGTATAAAGACACCGACCGAACCGTGCAGCATATACTCAAGCAGTTGGATGTCGCGACAGCGCCATAGATGTTTTAAGTTTTCAAATGCCAATCGGACCTTCTGTTCCCAAGCCTACACCCCATCCGTGATGCGTCCGCCAGGTGAGATGTGGCTTCCCAATTAGAAAATCTCGTCATCTAGCTTTGTTACCTCCCCAGTGAGTCTTGGAGCTGAACCAGCCCAGTCCTGTAGCAAAAGTTTGCATTTTGAAGGTGCAAAACACTTTCCGAACATGGCTATATTAGCATCCGAACCATCTCGCAGATTGTATTACTGAATTACTGCGGACTATCTTGTCCAGTAGGCGTATTCCATCACCTGAAGCAAATCACTGATTTTTCCAATTTACAAGAAGGGATCTCTCAACGACTGCGCAAACCACCGTGGAATAAGTTTGATCGCGATTGCCACCAATGTATTAGCCTCGGTTATACTTATATCTGACGACCAGTTAGCAGAATTCTGACTAGTCCCAGACGTGTCGGTCGAATTTTTACGTTGCATCAATTCCTCGGGTTTCGTCAGACCTATCGCCGAGGGACGATATCAATGTTTTTTTATCTGATGAATTTGGTCTCCGTTCACTGATAGGCTTTTCGGTTCCCTTCGAGTGTGTTACTATCCTCATACTTCTGATGAAGTGAGGGTCTGTACCAAACCAAGTAGCTCGTTTGTCATCAGCAACGGTATTCGTCAAGGTTCCCTATTTCACTATCTCCATTCAATTTCGTCGTATACTTAATACTGTTTAACGCACTGAGTGGTTTCCAAAACTTAAATGGGCGACTGGAGGAAAGCTGTTCGAGTACACTGAAAGCGTCATCTGCTGTTCGAATGTGCGGAGGATACGCAAGGCCGTATGTCGATTAGTCCCCCGTTGAAACTAAGTGGTCAGCAATCGGTTGGAGTTTAATGATTCTCCTTCTTGGGCAGTTGCGTGACCAATGACGGTCCTCATTTCCAAGACTCGAACAGTAAACAGGACCAAAGCACCTGTGGGGAGGACGCACTTTACTCCGACTGGCTCCTTGGAAAGGATAAGCCGGCTCCATGAACATGATTGCAGCTATCCATGCTCGGCGGTTGGCTCCAAGATATTTGCAAATGTCGATCCAGTTGGTTTTCCGTCGACGGGCGCTGTACACCATCCGAAGGCTAAGTTGGTCTACGTCTTCGAATACAGTGCCCAACCGGGTTTTTATCCCCCCCCCTTGTCGGCGGTGCCAGTCAGGACATGGTTTTGGAGCCGAGACAATACTCGTAAGTGTCGTCGGGCTTGCGGAGAACATGACCCAGGCATTGCAGTCGGCGGCGTTGTATGTGCGTCGAGAGACGGGCAAATGGCATCAATTTCTGAGGTTCGAGTTTGAGACCCTGTCCCGCCAGTTAACTTCCAGAATAAATCAAAGATACCATTGATCGGAGACCTCCGATCCTTTGATGTCCTCAGCGTCCAGGTTTCGCAGCCGTATAGTAGGACTAGTTCGACTGTTGTAGCAAACACCCTGAGCTTGGTTTTGAGGCTGATCTCGCTCCGGCGCTATGGAGTTGTTCGAAGCTGCGGAAACGCCATTCGGGCGCCATGCTTGTTCTCAAACCCGTCACACTAAGATGTGAAATAAACAAAACCGTTCGTTCAGTTTTGCTTTGCGCTGACCGATCCTTGAGTTTGCTAGTAAAGGACATCCATTGATTAGAAGTTTCCCGCAATTGATACTGACATAGTTTAGCACAGACGAGGTGCAGTGAGCGGGTTACTAGTTTAGAGATCAGTGTTAAAGAATTGATGGGGGGATCGCTGTTTTATCTTATTCGGGTCAGTGAACCTCGCTGGCTATTACATCTTATGCGTGGACCTAACGATCATTTACCTTATTTACCTTGCCGGTCAAGATTGGATAAATTTACATGGTCAGCAGTTGCGCACAAAGCTATTAGGTAGGAGTCTCCAGGTTTGGGTCCAAAAAGACTAACTGATTGGCTAGAGATACTAAAAGCCTCAATATGGTCAGGGTGGGTGTCTTGGGTTGTTTGGTCACTATCCACTTACACTTCCCCAAATGCTCCAGTACAACCAACCATCTCAGATATCTACTGCTGAGAAAGCCATCATGTGGAAGTGTTTTCTCACCAAAGAGGACGAAAAGGCAATTTCCGGGGCTATAACCGGGTTGGTGAACCACACTGGCAGTTCATCTAGAGAGTTGGCTAAAAACCTTGATAACGAACTAACCAAGAAGAGGCTTACGAATCACACACCTTGCTTATGATGGTGGCCAGCGGCTCATCATCGTACATCGGCCAGCGACTCGATTGGGCATCAAGGTGTATTGAGCACCTTGGACGTTTGACTCCGTCCAAAGGGTGTATAATCCAATGAACTGGACACTGGCCCCCAATGGACTGCGAACTTTGAGCTCTGTCCTGTTGTCTTGCAGGTCTGGCTTTCTAGCCAAAGGCTTCGGATGGGGTTCCCGAAGTTATCCCCCTTCCTCGGTCAGGGCAGCCGGGAAGTAACGCCCACACACCTTTGAACACATTCTACATTTTTTTGTTCACATGTGGCATATTTACCAGTTCTCTGTAATTTGTTACGTTTTGGAATAATAATAATACAAAAGGGACACTAAAGGCTCCGGTAGCAAACCGATATCTATGGCGTTCTTTTCATTTCTTATCAGGCCGGTATACTTGAGACTGTACAGTTAGGTTACGTATTTCTGTGTTGGCTGTTGAGGTTCATTTATTTTCCCCTCCCCCACTTTACAATCACTGAAGATGTCACCTTTGCTGGTGATGAAACGTCTGCAAACAAATTACCAAGCTGGGCGGACAGGCAGAATTGAATTCAGTTTCCGATTTTCAATACTTTGTCAGCAATAAACTCACTAGTTTGCGACCATAAATTGTCATAATAACACTATAAAAATCGTTATCTTTCAAAGTGGTATTCTGCGTTCCATTTGCCAGGTACTGGGAGGAGCTGTTGATGCTGGTCGTTGGCTGTGACTGGGAAACGGACGAAGAAGCCGAACAAATATGCGGCGTTGTCTTCCAACCTCGAGCACGTGGACATAAGATGGCTATCTGGATATCAAACGCCGATGATGGTGAGACGATTAAACAGATTGGTCGACGTATAAAAGAGCGACTGAGTTTAGCAGAGAAAATGTTCTTCCAAACCGTGAATGATCAAAAAGATCACCCTCGGGGTAAAGACATCACTTCCGGACGGTACGAGGTCTGACTTTGGACCGATTCCCCTTGAACTGTATCTTGAATGCTGATTTCGTCTGTGGCAATGGCAATTGTGGCAGCTGGTCGCAGGCGTGCACAGCTACTGTGTATATCGTTCTTTCGTGCAACAAATCAGTTCTCGAGTTTCTGCAATCCGCTTTTCGCGGCACGCATTGTCCTCTCCAGGGGCCGCAATTCGGGTTTGATCTTCCAGTTTTATTCTACTGCGTTTGTTCCGTGTTTCGAATCCTAAGGAATTAGGTTAAAGCGTCAGATATTCTTGTTTTCAAGAAAAAAATTACTAAATCACTAATTTTTTTGCTGTGGAGCGTATTCAAACTCCCTTGCAAAAAACGGTTTCAAGTCATCCTAAGGACGAGTAGTCACTGAGTGGGTATTCCACTCGTAGTATGGTTGATTGTCTCAATAGAACCCATATAACACGTGCCACAGTCTGGTGGTTTATCGAGTAATCATTAGAAATCTCGATTGAAGTTAGTCTCTATACTCAGTCTTACTTATTTTCTCGATCTGTTGTGATACTGTGAGGGATGATTGAGGCCGTTTATAGCCATAACGGTATTTATAGTGAATGCGAAATTTGAACGATCGTGCCCTCAGGGATATCTAAGCAATGAGGTAACCATTCAAGGGATATATGTATATTTGAGGAAACGCGTAGATCCGTAGTACTGGGAGAATCTGTTGTGCGTATTACACGTGATCATTGTATCCTCATTCGAATCTATTGTCTTGCGTGTATTCACGTTGACGTCAATCGTTACTCCTCGTGTCAGTTTCAAGCATGGTAGCAATATTTGTTTGATTTGTCAGTTTCTCACTGTCGAACGAACTGCAATGAACTCAACCTATTGGTAATTATCTAATTTACTGCTTCTATTCGACAAACCCCGATGGCGATATTCGCTTCTATGTAGATTGACTCCCAGTTTCAGAAAAGATAACCAAAACACTTGGATTTAGTTCATCCAGTACCCACCGATGAAAAATCTGCGATTGCAATCGTCCATTTTGAAGGTATTCATCTAAGCAGCCTGCTTTGTCGAGGTTAGTGAGACCACTGGTCCATGTAGTGTGCTTTTACTCATTCGGACAAGGGTACAACATAAGCTTGGAGCTGGTAGGATTGTTTCTGTGTTGGTAAATCGATAAGCTCCCAAGGACTTCAAGTTATTATCGAGTTCCCCAAAAGGACGGGTTTCAGTAGAAAACAATGACGGTCCAGAGTTTGCATAATTATTTGTCTTGACCTATTCTTTAGCGAAGAACTGATATCTGAATTATGCAAATAAAATCCTCAGCGGAACTTCTGGCCGAATAGCCTCGATGACAGTGTTGTCTCGTTTATTATGCGGTTTGAAACATAAATTTACAGTACGTGCTAAATCTCGCTTGCTTAGGAAATATGACCTAATAGCAATGGATTTCGTAGTCTTGAGCGCCGTTGATGAGACGTGGAATGGAATGTTTCCATGCATAGAAAATAATTGGTTACTCTGAGGCAGTGTTTAAGATACGTTTCATCTTCAGACAACTTTCTTCCGTGTGCATGTAAGTCGATCTCATGGATAAATCTACAAGCATTTTGGAACCAAAGTTTACAATAGCACAATAGGTAGCGCACCGCGTCTTGCCTCGAATTTGCCCCTAGATCTGGTGCAGCTAAGTGCCACATATAGGACAAAGGAATGGTTGTGACGGATTTATTGCTTGTAAGAATGCATCCCACGGATACTTATGGTTTTCATTTCCTGGAGATTGCCTGTTAGGTCAAAACCCACTGTATCGCCGTACGCCACTTTGTCATCTGCAACCTCTAATTCGGATAATCTAGGTCTATATATGCACTCAGTTTCAGTTTCAGTTTGAACAATCATTAACCATGCACTTTCGTGCGCCGCTTTTGGTTGCTGTCTTTTGGCTGCCCATTGGGATGAAGAATAGGAAAAGAAAGGAAACTTGAAGGTGGAGTCGAAAAGAAAATGGAGAATTTCAGTGATCTAAGGCTGGAAAGAAATTGAGGAGATGCACGAACGCCACTGTTTACGACCCCCAGCCATATCGCTCAGTGTTTCTAACCATCGGGTGTGATCATCCCGAGGTCCCTAGCCAGGGAGCCTAACAGGACCTATGTGACGCAGTTTCCTGGTTGGGGTTTTCGTACCCTCGTGCCAGGTCTTAACTTGACCACCCTTGGTTTTTTTCCACTCTGTATCTTCTTCGGCGAACGTCGCTCGCCGTGGTAACC